CAGGGCTCCTTAGGGGGCTGGGGGTCCGGGCTTAAAGGTTTCCCAGGAAGCTAGGGGCTGAGACAGGAGGGTGCGTGCCCTGGGTAGGGGCTGGGGCACCAGGATTCGGCAGAGGTCTGGGGACTGAGGGCTGAGTCACCATATTCTTTGAAGGCAGAGATATTCCTGAATCTGTCTGTTTTTCCTAGCTGGGACCAGCATAAACCAGCTCTTGTTTAATGGAGTAGAGACGAATTCGTCTGGGAATGCAGCAAGTGGACCAAGACCGGGAGAGATGCAGGCTGCTTCGCCCCAGGCTCCACTCCTTTTTTCTCTCTCCCGGCTGTTTCCACCCCTTTTCCCAGAACCCCTGCCCCGCTGTCTCCATGGCTCTCTCACACCCCCTGCTGCTTCTTCCTTGCACAGCAGTGGCCCATCTCAGGGACCAGAGAATACCATTGCTCCCTCCCCTCTGGACCTCTCAGGACCAGCCTCGGCGCGAGAAAGCTGACCTTCCTTTATGGCGCTTATTGGGTTTCCAATCAAAGCTGACCTTCCTTTATGGTGCTTATTGGGTTTCCAATCATCCACTTACTTGTGAGTCTTTGCTGGATGCCTGCCTCCCCCGGGGGGACTGTGAGCGCTCAGAGGCCAGGAACCTGGGTGGCTTTTACTCATCAGGACAACCCACTGCTCAGCAGGGCGCCTGGTACATTGCAGACGCCCAGTGAATACTTGTTGAATAAATGAATGAGCAACATTCAAGGGGATTCTTAGGTGGGGATTTAATGGGTGGTGCTGGTGCTATTGTTTGGGCCCTGGGGACAGCTGTGAGTCCAGATGTCCTGACTTCTGCTCAGGGCCCGGTCCATGTCCAGCTTCTGGCCTTGTGCCCAAAGGCCATCCAAGCAAAAGGAGGCAGAAGAGGCCTCTCCTAGAGGGAGGGGGCACGGAGGGGACCTTAGGGCAGCTTGGACCCACAGGCTGCCCCCCACTTTCCCAGCTCTCTGCCTCAAGTTTTTTAAAGCACTTTCTCCCACTGCCCTTTATCCCTTCTCTTCTTGTGGCCTCTCTTCTCCCTTTCCAGAAGTTTCCTTCCCCTAAAACCACACGCTTGCCTGTCTTTTCCTTTCCCTCTAGCTATTTCCAGTGGTGTGCCGAGGAACATGAACGTCCCTGTCTTACCTGACAGAGCCCCCAGGAAGAGGCGCCCCTGCGGCTGGACCCAGAGCTTGAGGAGGGAGGCAAGGTCCGAGTCCAAGGCAGGTAAAGCAAGGATCTCCTTCTTAGACCCCTGGCTCAAGACCACCTCGGATGCAGCCAGCTTCAGCTGAAGAGGGAGTCCCAAGACCAGGGGCAGATCCAGCTCTGGCCCCAACCCAGAGGACAGCACCACCTTCTGCAGAATGTGCGGAAAAGGGATTGGGGGGGGGGAGAGTGGAAAGAATGAACCGCATCAACTCCCTGGGGCCCCATCCCTTACTGCCTCAGTGGGACCTCTGTGCCCTACCGTCTGTCTGCCGACCATTTCAATCACCTAAATGCTGCCTCGATTTCCCTGGCTTGATAGTCCATAAAACCACCCCTCTCCCAAGTCAATACAATCTAGATAAAAGCCATTTGTAGGGGTGCCTGGCTGGCTGACTTCACAGAGCCTGCGACTCTTGATCTCGGGGTTGTGAGTTGTAGCCCCATGTTGGGTGTAGAGAGTCCTTAAACATAAAATCTAATAAATAAATAAATAAAATGTCATTTGCTTGCTGTGGGCAGCTTCGGGATGCGTCTCTACCCTCCCCCCACCTTAAGCTTTCCTAACATTGACAACTTGGAGTGTCCCCCCGCTCCCCGCTCCACTGCTCCCAGGCTCCACTGAATACAGGCAGCGCCCACTCTTACTTGATCTTGGAGGTGGAGGCTGAGCCGAGAAGGGTTTTCTGGGGTCCCAAGGGCAAGGAGGCGGCCGGAGCCTGCTGCCAGCTGGAGTCCCAGGTCCAGAGAAAAGGCCCAGGGCCCGACATGAGGCTGGGGAATGTCTGGGGGAGGGGGAGAAGTGATCCCCCTGAGGACTCAAGGCTGGGGACTCATGGAGGGAGGCAGCGAGTGCCGGGAGGGAGACAGGGGAAGGCAGACACAGAGCTGGCCGTGCAGGGAAAAACAGCCTTTACCTTGGAGATGGAATTCTGCACGGGTCCCTGGTGGGAAGAACGTCCCAGGTTGGGACTCGACGGCACAGCTTCTGAGGCTGTTAGTAGGAGCAGATCCCGAGGTCTGGGCCTGTGGGTCCAGCCAGTTAGCCCGGCGCAGGCAGCCATCCAGGGCAGGGACCAGCTGGAGCCGGTGGAGGGAAGGTGGAGAGAAGGGAAGACGCGGGGATGTGGCCTTCCAGACATCAGAGCCCCTCCCCACCCTCAGTTTACTCCGCTGTGAGTCACAAGCACTTGGCCTCTCCCACGCAGCTCTCTCTCTCTCTCTCTCTCTCTCTCTCTCTCTCTCTCTCTCGCTCAAAGTGTGGCCTTGGACCCCCACGGTCCCCCAGCCAGCCACACTTCAACAGCTTTGGTCGGTCCCCAGCCCTGTGATGTAGTTACCGGCAAACGGAGGCTGGAGACGGGGAACAGGAGTCCCCCCAGTGCAATTCTGACGATGGGCTGGGGTTTGCTGGCCAGGGGCCCAGAGACCTGTCTCAGGCGCAGCACCTCCTCCCTGTCCACACTCAGTAGCAGCGAATCGTCAAGGATCTTCACTTCCACCTGCAGGGAGGAAGGAGCGGAGCCCAATCAGAACCTCTGTGGCCTGCCTCCACCACTTTCTTCTTCAGAAGCGGCCAAGTATAGCAGAAAGAACATAGACTCTTTGGGCGCCTGTGTGGCTCAGTCATTAAGCATCTGCCTTCGGCTCAGGTCGTGATCCCAGGGTCCTGGGATCGAGCCCCGCATTGGCCTCTCTGCTCAGCGGGAAGCCTGCTTCTTCCTCTCCCACTCTCCCTGCTTGTGTTCCCTCTCTCACTGTGTCTCTGTCAAATAAATAAAATCTTAAAAAAAAAAAAAAAAAAAAAGAACATAGATTCGTGGAGTCAGCTAGCATCCTTGGCTCGCTCGGGCCGTGAGCCTCAGAACTCCCATCCGGAAAATCGGGGACAAGCATAGCAACTCCATGGAGGTTTTGTGCAGATTGAATAAGGTGACAGTGGGAAAGGGATGCCTGAAAACTCCTTTCTGTTCCCCTTCTGTGGACCAGCTCGGGACACCCCTCCCCTCGGGACCGGATCTGGCTTACCTGGTGCCACCTGCCATCGTCCAGCCGGGGCCCCGCGCCCACTGTAAGCTGGGCCAGCTGATTGTGCAGCTGGATCTCAGACCTGCCATCTCGAAGTCCTAGCACAAACCAGTCATCGTCTGGGTTGGTATCGCCATAAAAAATCACTCCCTCTGGATCCCAGGTTCGAAGCTCAAAGGAGGAAGAGCTTCTGGAAGGACAGAGAAGGAAAGACTGTGTATGGGGCATGCCCTCTGGGGGTAAAAGTGGGGTGGGGGAGGCTGGAGGACAGGGAGAAGATCCGAGGGAGGGAAGGTAGGGTCAGGGACTCCGTCAGGGGGCTAGGTCAACCTCCTACTTCCTGATCTTGGTGAAGTCAAAAGTCATGATGCTGATAGGCTCTTGTCCTGAGCCATTGCTGAGGTGCACAGCAGGGGGGTCCTGGACCCTCTGTCCTCGAGAGAAAACAAACAAGGTAGAGTGAGGATGGACGGAGAGGTGGGGGGGGGGTGGGGAGGAAAAGAAAGCAGGAGCCGAGCCAAGCGCAGCTCACTTAGTCCCGCACGCGGGCTGAGCACCCCATCCCAACAGCCGCACCTGGGTGGAGAGACCATGTCTCGGGGCCTGTCCCTGGTGGCCCGGAGGTGGAAGCAGTAACAACAGCAGTGACAGCCACCGCGGCGATGTGACCAGCGGGCCTCTGCCCTCCATGGTCAGCTGCGGTCCTCTCTGTGGCTCAGAGAGCTCTGGGGAGAATGTGTGGGGGCAGGCAGCCTTTCTGTGGTTGGTGTTGGGTTAAAGGTTGCCCCGGGGGGAAGAAGGGGGGCAGGAGACCGGACACTGACCCTCTGGCCCCTCTGACCCCTCTGAGGACAACTCGGGGGGAGGGACAGAGTTCCTCCACTACACTCTCCCTGCCGGGAAAGTGTATGAACTCGGACAGGAGACCCCACTTCCCCACTCCTTCTCTACAGCCTGACTTGGGTCCTTAAAGTCTTCTGCCCACCTGGGGAGGCTGCCTCTGAGGGGCTGAGGTCCAGAAACAGTCCTGCCCGCACCCCAAGGAGCATCCTCTGTCAGAACTACAGCTGAGGGGCGCCTGGGTGGCTCGGTCAGTGAAGCATCTGCCTTGGGCTCAGGTCATGATCCGGGGGTCCTGGGATGGAGCCCCACCTGCTCAGTGGGGAACCTGCTGCTCCCTCTCCCTCTGCTTCTCCACCCCTCTCAGGCTCCCTCTCTCAAATAAATAAATAAAATCCTAAAAAAAAAAAAAAGGAACTACGGCTGAGACCTGCGATACTAAATATCCGGCTGGGTGAGTCTGGTCAAGTCATTCCACTCATGGTGCTTGTTAGTGTCCTTGTTCATAAAATGTGAAACATAGTACCTACTTTATGGGGTTACTGTAGGGAGGACTCAATGAGATAATGCAGGCACGGTGCCTGGTGTCGGCTCTGAGCTCCTCCCTCAGTGTTTTCCCAGGCCTCTGAGGCTGGCCTCAGAGGGAGGTTCTGTCCCTGACTGTGATTTAGTGGCTACTAAGAAAAGGCCCGTCCCCCACTTGGAATTATCTCCTCTTCTCCATTTATTTCGGATTTCACCATCTACCAATAGAAATGCATCACCCTCTCCCTGACCCGTTTTGAAATCCCAGTGCGCCGAGAGAAAGGACACCCGGAGCCACTCAAGACCCCCTAGGAGACAGCTCTCGGAGCTGGGGGACTTAGGACTCACCCAGGGTCGCGGGGGCCCTTGGATGGGTGAGTGTGACTGAAGAGTACAGCAGAAAATCACTGCACCCTTCACTTAGGGAAGGCCAGGGGAGGTGACTTTTGAACTGCGGGGTTTCACCCACAGAGGCTGGGACACCCGGGCGACAACAGCGAGGGAGCGGGCAGTTCAGCCTTGACCCCTGCCCGGGGGCCCAGTCACGGGGCTGGCGGCGGGGGACAGGGCTAGGGCCTCGGGGCGTGCCTGTTCTGCCAGCTGATTGGCTGGGGGGACGCGTCCCGGGAGGGTGCAGGGGTGCGGCGCCGAGAGGATCCCCCCCCCCCCCGCCGCCCCAGGTGCTGAGCATTCCCAGGGCCCCGGGTCGGTGTAGGGGTGCGGCGCCGAGAGGATCCCCCCGGCGCCCCCGGCGCTGAGCACTCCCCCGGCTCCCCGCGGGTGCAGGGGTGCGGCGCCGAGAGCACCCCCCGCACGCCCACCAGCCTCCCGGGCCCTAGCCCGCGGCGCCCCCAGGCTGTCCCGGCCCGGTGCGTAGGCCCTTTCGCAGGCCCCCTGCCTGCAGGACAGGAGGGGAGGGGCCCGGACTTCAGTCCCAGACGGCGGGGATCGAGATGGCCCCCAGATGGCGGATCCGAGAGGCCGAAGAGGGAGACTGTGGACATATCCTGAGGCTGATTCGGGTGACGCCTGCGGGCCAGGAACCGGGGCCCCCCCGAGGGGGTGCGGGCGGCGCGGCCGGGGGAGGGGGGCAGGCGGGGAGTCGGGGCCGCCTCGGGAGGGGTCCCCTGCCCTGATCCGGCCTCTGTCCCCCGCCGCCGTAGGAACTGGCCGAGTACGAGAAACTCTCGGAGCAGGTGCAGATGAGCGAAGAAGGTGGGGGCCCGGCACCCGCGTCCTGGGCCAGGCGGCGGCGGCCGGCGGGGCGGGGGGTGGGGGTGGGGAAGGGCGGAAGGGAGGGATGGGTCCCCAAGGCCCTAGCTCCGGGCCGGGCGGGCGCACACCCAGGCCCTTTCTCTGTCTCTTTGCCACAATCCCCATCCCCGCAGCCCTGAGAGCAGATGGCTTCGGAGGGAACCCCTTCTATCACTGTTTGGTGGCTGAGGTCCTTCCCGCCCCCGGGGAGCCGCAGGGTAAGACCAGCAGGGCCTCGGAGGGTCCCGTCCCGGCGCTCTCAGAGGTCCCTCCCAGGCGCCCAGTGCCCTCTTCTGTCTCCATCTCAGGGCCCCGTGTGGTGGGTTATGGGCTGTATTACTTCATCTACAGCACGTGGAAGGGGCGCAACGTTTATCTGGAAGACATCTATGTGACACCGGAATGTAGGGGTACTGAGCTGGGGCCGGGGCGGGAGGAAAGCCACCCAGACCCAACCTCCATCCCCTGCCCCCTAACCCCAGCCTTATGGCCTCTTCTGAGTCCCTTCAACGGAAATAACCCCTCCTCCCGCCCCCTTTTTGTTTTCTCTCGTTTTCCCCACAACAGGTCAGGGGATTGCCTCCAAGATAATAAAAAAGGTGGCTCAGGTGAGGCGAGGGATGGGGCCGTGAGTTAGGCCCTGGAAAAGCAAGCGGGGAGGGGCGGCACAGCAGGCAAATGCAGGGTGAGAAAGCCTTTTCCTTTTTGGAAGGAAAAGTCAGCGATGTCTTCTCCCACAGGTGGCCCTGGATCAGGGCTGTTCCCAGTTCCGCCTCGCAGTCCTGGACTGGAACCAGAGGGCCATGGCCTTGTACAAGGCCCTGGGAGCCCAGGATCTGACTGAAACCGAGGGCTGGCATGCCTTTCGCTTCGAAGGAGAGGCCATGAGGAAGTTGGCGGGAAAGTGAGGCCATTCCTTGGGGATCTCCGGGGTCGACCTCCTTCCCCACCAGCTCAAGCCCTCTGCACAGGCCTCCCTGAAGGAGGAGAGGTTGCGAGTGGCTATCCCCAAATTAGGAGCAGAGCAGTATCCGGGCGGAGGCCTTTCCTCCTCCTTGTTGAGGGTGAGAAATAAAGCAGAATTACTGTAAGCGCGTGACTCGATAAGCTTCAGCCACCCCGAGACCCTTCTGGAATGTTCTGGTCTCCTGGTGTGTGTGTGGAGAGGGGGATGCTGCTTCAGGGGGTAAAGGTGGGCCCAAGGCGACGTTCACCCTCAGAGGGCCAAGTGTTGGCTCTGATCTGTGAAATATAGAGAAAAGAAGAGCAAGGGGCCAGCTTGGCACATCAGGTTTGTCGGTCCCACTTTGGGACCCAGACAAAGGCCTCCAGTGTCTGGACTGCAAGGTGCAGGACCCCAGGCTGAGGCCGGCCCAGTGGCTCAACCCATGGAGCAGACTGCCACCTGCTGGTGGTGTTTTGGGGGTGCAGGGAAGGAACACTTGTCTCAACTTCCAAAAAAAAAAAAAATCATCTCACCAGCACTTTTCCTTTTTCAAAAGTCACAGAGTCCTTATTTTCAGTTCAGGAAAACCAAACAGACCTCTAGGACCCATGGAGAGAAGGAGGGAGACAAGCTCCTGTCCTACTTTCATAATTAACCCCTATTACACAGGTACTGTGGGTTTCTTGTAGGAAAATTGGAACGTACATATAAAATAAAAATAGAATCCATAGCCTTACCTACGTAAGTGTTGTTAACCCTTTGGTATCAATTCTGCAGATTTTTTTTCAGTGTCCGTATATACACATAATTAAGTGAGTAGAGGTGGGATCATATACCTTTCTTTTTCTTTTCTTTTTTTTTTTAAGATTTTATTCATTTATTTGAGACAGAGAGAATGAGAGACAGAGAGCATGAGAGGGAGGAGGGTCAGAGGGAGAAGCAGGCTCCCCGCCGAGCAGGGAGCCTATGTGGGACTCGATCCCTGGACTCCAGGATCACGACCTGAGCCGAAGGCAGTTGCTTAACTGAGCCACCCAGGTGCCCTACCTTTCTTTTTCTTTTAGTGAGCTCTACACCCAACGTGGGGCTCAAACTGAAGATCAAGAGACACATACTGTACAGCTGTGGAACCAGGCGCCCCGGGATCATATACTTTTTAACAATATATCAGAAACATCTATGTTCCTATGCTATTAAACATGCATCTGGGGGCGCCTGGGTGGCTCAGTCGTTAAGCGTCTGCCTTCGGCTCAGGTCATGATCCCAGGGTCCTGGGATCGAGCCCCGCATCTGGCTCCCTGCTCAGCAGGAAGCCTGCTTCTCCCTCACCCTCTGCCTGCTGCTCCCCCTGCTTGTGTTCCCTCTCTCGTTGTATCTATCTCTGTCAAATGAATAAATAAAATCTTAAAAAAAATAAATAAATAAAAATAAACATGCATCTGTCATCACTTCTGACGGTGGTATATTATTCCTCTTGTTGATGAACCATTGGTTACATGGCCATAATTTAGACACTGAAAGGGGGCAGGCAGGTAATATAAATGTGTACATTGTAAGAAACGGGATCTCTAGATTTCTATGGAAATGTAGAGAATTGAAGATCCACCTTAAAATTTAAATTAAAAAAAAAAAAAGATTCGGCCGAACAGAACACATCAGGGGCTCAACTCTTCCTGAGTGGTGCCAATTTGGGGCCCTTAAAACCAATTTAGAGCAAAAGGGCCTTTAGGACAATCTTGATCAAGAGATAATGAAGCTGGTCAACCCCTTCCACAGCTGGGAGCCAGAAAAATCCAGTCTCATGGCCTTGGCCCATCTCAATCTGACAGGGATTTATATCATTTTTTTTCCTTTTTATTTATTTATTTTTTTAAAAAAGATTTTATTTATTTATTTGAGAGAGAGAATGAGATAGAGAGCATGAGAGGGGGGAGGGTCAGAAAGAGAGGCAGACCCCCTGCTGAGCAGGGAGCCCAACGTGGGACTCGATCCCTGGACTCCAGGATCATGACCTGAGCCAAAGGCAGTCGCTTAACCAACTGAGCCACCCAGGCGCCCAATATATCTTTTTTTTTTTTTTTTTTTTTTTTGACAGAGAGAGAGACAGTGAGAGAGGGAACACAAGCAGGGGGAGTGTTGAGGGAGAAGCAGGCTTCCCGCCGAGCAGGGAGCCCAATGCGGGGCTCGATCCCAGGACCCTGGGATCATGACCCGAGCTGAAGGCAGCTGCGTAATGACTGAGCCACCCAGGTGCCCCTAGAATAGAATACTTTAAACTTTAAAACTTCATGCAGAAGAAAAGGGCATAAACTAGGAAGCAATACGGCCAAATTTTATCTTGCCCCATCTTGTTTTGCCTTTGCTTTTCAGAGTTTATGATTTTCACGTTATTCTCTTGCCATGGCCCCTGTCTTGGCCAGTTTTCACGGGATGTCTGCATTCCAGCGTCATTCTGTTCTCAGCCACAGCCTCGCCTTGGGCTCCTGCCCACTCGTCACCTCATTAGCCTCTTACTTACGAGGTGATTCTATCAGATGTTGGGCGTGATCAGTATGAGGTGATAAGGACCTGGATTCTGGCCTTGGCAGGGAGAACAAAGGGGAGGGCACTGAGGGGGAGGACTTCTTAAAGGGAACATGGAGGGACACCTGGGTGGCTCAGTCAGTTAAGCATCTGTCTCTTGGTTTTGGCTCAGGTCATGATCTCAGGGTCCTGGGATCAAGCCCCGAGTTGGGCTCCGCACTCAGCAAGGAGTCTGCTTGAGATTCTCTCCCTCGGCCCTCCCCCCAACTCAAGCTCTCTCTCTTAAATAAATAAAATATTTATTATTTTTTAACGTATCTTTTTTTTTTTAAGATTTTATTTATTTACTTGAGAGTCCACATACGTGCTCATGAGAGAGAGAGAGAGAGCACGAGCAGAGGGAGGGGCAGAAGCAGAGGGAGAAGCAGACTCCCTGCTGAGCAAGGAGCACAACCCAGGACTCGATCCCAGGACCCCTAGATCATGACCTGAGCCAAAGGCAGACGCTTAACCCACTGAGCCACCCAGGCTCCCCAGTAAATAAAATATTTAAAAATAAATAACAATAAAGGGAGCATAGAGGGGCGCTTGGTTGGCTCAGTGGTGAGCCATATAACTTTCGAGCTCGGGGTTGTGAGTTCCAGACCCACAGCGGGTGTAGGGATTACTTAAAAAAATAAAACCTTAGGGGTGCCTGGGTGGCTCAGTCAGTTAAGTGTCTGTCTTCGGCTCAGGTCATGATCCCAGGGTCCTGGGATCGAGCCCCACATCAGGATCTCTGCTCGGCGGGAAGCCTGCTTCTCCTTCTCCCACTCCCCCTGCTTATGTTCCTTCTCTCGCTGTGTCTCTCTCTGTCAAATACATAACTAAAATCTTCAAAAAAATAAATAAATAAAAATAAAATCTTTAAAAAAAATAAAGGGAGCAGAGAGAAAGCATAATTAAAACATCTCTCAAATCCGTTCACATCCCTATGTCCCCTTCCTCTATCATCTTTGAAAACGGCCCGTAGTCTCTTGACCGACCTCCTCCTGTAGCTGCCCCCTTCCCTGAGGTTATCAGTACTTTTTTATCATTGATATACATTATTTTATATAAACAGTCAAATACTTCTATAAGGCTGATAGAAAAAATAGTAGCATTCCAACTCCCTCAGTTTTTCAGAGACGATCGCTTTCAGTTGAGTGTTTAAATTGCGTTACTATGTTTTGTCTTGGATTCATCTGTACATCTCAAACTAAAAATAGCATGCAAGTGTTGCTACTTCTTGTTGCTTCTGTTTCAGGCGGCAGCGATTGACTTCCCACTGCTAACTCTCTTGTCCACCCCCACCATCCCCCCACCCCCATTTCCCATCAATCCACACTTCCAATATGTCATAATTCTGGTTCGATCTGTTTAGTGTTTACGCTATTATGATAATGCAAATGCTCTTTACAGTTGTGCTGTATGGATAGTTTTTTGGGGTTTTTTTTAAGATTTTATTTATTTGGGGCGCCTGGGTGGCTCAGTCGGTGAAGCGTCTGCCTTCAGCTCAGGTCATGATCCTGGAGTCCCTGGATCGAGTCCCGCATCGGGCTCCCTGCTCAGCGGGGAGTCTGCTTCTCCCTCTGGCCCTCCTCCCTCTCATGCTCTCTCTCTCTCTCTCTCTCTCAAATAAATAATATCTTTTTTTAAAAGATATTTTAGATATTTATTTAGATTATTTAGATTTTAAAAGATATTTGAGAGAGAGAGAGAGTGAGAGAGGGTGAGCAGGGGGAGGGGCAGAGGGAGAGGGAGAGAATCTCAAGCCGACTCCATGCTGAGCACAGAGCCTGAGCTGAAATCATGACCTAAGCTGAAATCAAGAGTTGGATGCTTAAAGGACTGAGCATGGGTGGCTCAGTCGTTAAGCGTCTGCCTTCGGCTCAGGCCATGGTCCCAGGGTCCTGGGATCGAGCCCCACATCGGGATCCCTGCTCGGCAGGAAGCCTGCTTCTCCCTCTCCCACTCCCCCTGCTTGTGTTCCCTCTCTTGCTGTGTCTCTCTCTGTCAAATAAATAAATAAAATCTTTAAAAAAAAAAAAAAGGGACTGAGCCACCCAGGTGCCCCGCCATGTGGATAGTTAAATTTTTGTTACCATTTATGTTTTTTCTTAAATCAGTACTTGCTTTGTTCTTTGTTTGTTTGCTTCGTTTTCTGTGTACTCTAATTTATCCCAAAATTCTCCTTTAGTTGTGTTAATGTGTTCTAAGGATATACAAACACGTAAGGAATTTTATTTCTTCTATTTGAGAATTTTCTCGCAGAGCCTTTAGACCTACTCCAGCACAGAGAGGCTGGTCTTCAGACCGCACTGCTGGGTCTCTCTCCACACCCATCTTGGGATTCCCTTTGCCTCTCTTGGATTGATCTCCTGTTTCCTGCAACCTATCTCCAACGTATCTCTTTATCTTTTTCAGTTTATTTTGATTGGAGCTTTTTTTTTTTTTAAGATTTTATTTCTTTTTTAGAGAGCAAGCGAGAGGGAAACAGCATGAGAGGGGAGAGGGTCAGAGGGAGAAGCAGGCTCCCCGCTGAGCCGGGAGCCCGATGTGGGACTCAATCCCAGGACCCTGGGATCATGACCTGAGCCGAAGGCAGACGTTTAACCATCCGAGCCACCCAGGCGCCCTTGATTGGAGCTTCTTAAGAAAGAGTACTTGGGAGATAATTTTGTTGGGACCTCGGGGCACCTGGCTGGCTCAGTGGAAAGTCATGTGACCCTTGATCTCAGGGTTTTGGGGTTGTGAGTTCAAGCCCCACGTTGGGTGTAGAGATTACTTAAATAAAAACTTAAAAAAAAAATGTTGGGACCTTCTAAGTCTGAAAATGTCTTTGTTCTACTCTTACGCTCAACTGACATTGTGGCTGGGTATCAAATACTACGTTGGAAATAATTTGCGCTAAGAATTTTGAGGGCATTTCTCCATTGTCTTCAAGCTTCTGGTGTTGCTGTTAAGAAGCCTGAAATTTTTCTTACTCTGGAAAATAAAGTGTGTATGAAGCCTATTTTCATTTTCTTTCTCTCTTTGCCCAACCACAACTTTTAGGATCTCCTCTTTGTCCTAGCCTTCTGAAATCTTACATGGAAAGTTTTAGTGGGAACCCAGTGGGTCTTTGCAACCTAGAAGCTCACCTTCTTCAGTTCTAGAAAAACATTTTTTTATTTTTTTATTTTTTTTAAAGATTTTATTTATTTATTTGACAGAGAGAGACACAGCGAGAGGGAACACAAGCAGGGGGAGTGGGAGAGGGAGAAGCAGGCTTCCCCCTGAGCAGGGAGTCCCACACAGGGCTTGATCCCAGAATCCTGAGATCATGACCTCAGCCCAAATTAGATGCTTAACTGACTGAGCCACCCAGACACCCCCCCTTTTTTTTTTTTTGATAGAGAGCGCTTGTGGGCACATGTGTGAGCGTGCAAGCTGGGGTTGGGAGGGGAGGGGCAAAAAGAGATTCTTCAGCAGGCTTCACACCCAGCACAGAGCCCGACTCCGGGATCG